GAATTCTGCAAGAGCGAAGGAGACAGAAAATAATATATCCGTCTCTTATTGCCCGACGTTGCCCGACACACCGACAGGGCACGAGACTTGTGTGCGTATGCGACGGAGGCCGATCTGTGGCATCACTGCTGTTACGATGTCTCAGAGGGTTCTGAGGCGAGTGGTATTCACAATAAGTGTCTCGGTACCGCTCGCACCGAGCGCGCGAGGAGAGGGAAGGTTCGACGAATAACGCGATTGTTTCCGAGGAGCGAACGAGAAATTCGGGTAACAACAGGTAGCTTTCGCGGGAATACATCGGGTTCCGACAAGATAAACACGCGGAATGAAAACACGGCGAGCAATACCGAAATCTAAAGGTGCGTTCCGTTTCACGCATGGATCGCATGAAAAGCTTGGAAATCGTTCCGTTTCACTCCATGCGCAATTCATGCGCGCATGAGAATTTCTCCCACCATACCACCACTCAGCGCATGAGAACGCATGAACTGCCTCAGCTCTCGAGGTGAGGCAGCCCATGTGTAATCCATGCGTATACGTTTCATGCGTTTTATGCGCGAAATGGAACGCAGCGTTGTTCGGATAGAATAAAGTTTTCCCATAATTTTATACTATGGCTAATGAAAAAGAGTTACAAGTATTCGTAAACGATGAATTATGGACACTTAACGTATCCGCAATTGAATTCTTAGCAGCAACGACTGGCAGTAAGTATTAATATAAAAAATTTTAATTCTAACCTCAAATTTCATGATTCTTTAAAACAATGTATTTATTCCAAATACTCATTAAATTTTACTTTTACAAGCTGTAAGGCTGGGTCTACAAAAAGTGTAGTGGGCCTTAAGCCGTAAGAAATTAACCAATTACATTCATTATTTATTAATATTCAGTATTTTATATATGAGGAAATATGTCCTGTATATACATACAAATAATATATACAGGACAGGATTTATTTATATACAGGATTTCTTTATATATAAATTATTAAATTCCAATCAAAAATAACACTGATCTTTGTAAGATGCCCTGTGAATAATTAAAGTTTTGCTTTCTTTTACTAGATGAAGACATTATCAAGCTATTAATAGAAAGAGAAAGAGAAAAAAGAAGTATGGCAATGATCGAACAACTAGAGCAACATTCCTTAGAAGGTTACCAACCTGTGGATGCATCTGAAATAAACAACGAACAGCCTGTGGATGCATCTGAGATAAACAACGAAGTTATAAATAAGAAAGAGTCCTTTACATGGCCAGATAAAGCAGTCCTTTTATTACTCGAGATCTATCGAAATAAAGAATCAGAATTTGCGGGTTTAAAACGTCACAACAAAATATGGAATGAAATATCTAATGAAATGAAAGAAGGAAACTATAATGTGACTGGTACTCAGTGCCAAAACAAAATGTCCGGATTCAAAAGAACATACAAAAATATTACTGATAGCAATAAAAAGTCAGGAAATCATTCCAGTTCTTGGGCTTTTTACTCGGCGATGGACTCAATATTCGGAGAAAAAGCATGGGTAGATCCGATGTCAATAGCCAGCAGTGATAATCCACCTTCCCCAGGTTCTTTCTCAGAAAAGTCATCATCTACTTCAGAGAAGTTAGCCGACAGATTTGGGTAAGTTAATTTTTTTTTAATATATTAAGATTAAAGTTAATAGCTCTAAAATTACAAGTTAATATGTTTAAAATTAACATTAATATTTGAACGGGGATAGTTTCGCCCCGGAGGTAAGATTTGCGATACTCGAAGGACCAGAGGGGGGTTGTCGCTTTCCCCTCACGACTATCAAATGTTTAACGCGAAAGCAGAAACGCATGCAACAAAATATTAAGCGAAGCGACTCACCGTGTCGGCCGTCGTCCCCGTGATTCCGTCAATCCTCGTCCTGTCCCTTGAACTTGGCCGCTCCGTGGGTCTCGTTCGGCATGCGATGGCAAAACTCGTGCAAACAAGCAAAACGGTGGAGAGCAAGCGATAGAGCAGGCAGGAAAGGCAGTTGGAGACGTGCGCACTCCCGGTTGAGCAAGGCGGCAAAGGCGATTTCGAGATGCGTTCTGCCCGGCGAACGTGTGCCGTAAGACGGCTTTTAGAATATGTGTGTGTGCCGCACGGCGGCTGTCCAAAACGTGTGTTTGCCGTAAGACGACTGGATTGCTAATGCTCTGTCCCCGCGGTCCTGGAACATGTCGCTGCGGGCGAGTAGTTGTTCCCTTTCCGGGGGGGTGGATACCGTCGGCGGATGGGCGATGGCAGCACCGACAGGTGAGTCGCATGATTTGGCTGATCGCGATCCGCCGACGTTTCGCGCGAGAATTACAAACGACTTATGCAACTAAGTATAAACGACACATGAATACATGAACATGAAGTAATTGTACTATTTACAAGGCGATACGCCGAACAATATTAACAAAACTAATTAAGTTAAAAGTTTATTACTTTTTTATTTGATTAATTTAAGTTTTAACTTTTTAAATAGCTTAACCATGACAGCGGAGGAACCAAAACCGAAAAAAAGAAGAGTAGAATCGATTTTAGAGTCATTTATTTACGAAATGAAAGAAGAAAAACAGAAAGAGAAAGAAGATAGAGAACGACGTAGAGCAAAAAAGGTAGAAAGACTGAATGAAATGCATAAAGAAAAAATGCAACTTCAGCAATCTTTCCTTGAAATATTCTCCAAGATCGCAGAACGCAAGTAGCCCTAAAGTATGCATATGCTTATTGATGTTTTTTTGTTTAAAAATTTAGCTAAAATAGCTATTTATACAAATTATAAACATGTAATGATAATTTTACTTGATTCGAAAAAGCGCTCAAGACTTATTGTTCATACATTTGATACAATTACATATACATAACATCTGCTTAATATGAAGCATAAGATACAGCACGGTATTGTTTGATTATAAGATATAAAATTTTTATTTAAGTTAATTTTTTTTAAATTCAATATTGTAGTTATCAAAAATTAGTGTTACATTAATTAAATGTTATGTAATTTTAAAGCTATTTCAAGCAATATTACTTCATTTTGCAATGCATTTGTGTTGGAGGCACATAATGAAAACTGCATGATGTGCTTATTGTTGTTTTTTTTTTTCATTCAAAAGTTGTGATCATACATTTAAGTTTTTTGTTATTCAATTAATAACAATTGTGATTGCTGCAACTGCACAGTTTTCTTAAAGACTGCATGACTTATCCTAGTCAAAGTAAATTTTATTTAGTTTTTATATATCCCAGCAAACACCAAGTAACAGTTATATAATTGTTAAATTATATAACTGTTACTTGGTGTTTGTTGGGATGTATATCTGAGATAAGTTAAATAGAATTTAATTTTATAGAGTTTATTTATTTGAATTGAACTTATATGTGATTTTTCTTAAGATTAAACATTGTATTAGCAAGACTAAGGCTCGATTGTAACAATATTATTTCGGTTTTATATTTACAGATATGTAAGTGAGACTTACAATTAAATATGTATCTTTATGTTAATAAAGTTATTACAGAATGTATTGAATATCAGTTTTTTAATATAGTGTTTATAAAACAAATATTTTTATTGTATATATTATATTTATAGAGTTCAAATATTTCAAAATACAATATATTAGATATAGTACAGTAATATCTTATCACTATTATACGTAAATTAAAATGTAATTGTAGCTTTACATAGTTGCAAATTTTACTACGAAATCTCACAAAATGTTGAAAGAAGAAGTA